TATCTCAATCGACAAGATATTGTTTTACTTGAAAGTCATGATATACTTCATACAACATTTCTTTGTTTACAAAACGAATATCATTTATGGATTACTTGTTGTCTATTAATACCATTCATTGCCTATAAATTATTACAAGAAAAAGTCTTACCTGTATTTCAATTACGTCAAATAACGTAATATATAAATATTATTGAAGAAAAATTTTTTATAAAATTAAGTACAACATGTGTATTTAATATCATGCATGAATTAATTGATTAAACAGGAATATGTATATGAGATAAAAAAGCTAGGAATGTTTGGTATTATTGATGTATATAGTGTATTAGAATATGGTCAAGTTTTTATTTAATATACAGTATTGGATGATAATAAATTATATGTTTCCGAAGAAGAAGATAATTTAAGAAAATCTAATGTTGATCAATGTTAAATTTTAACAAGTGAAGTTATTATTACAAAAAATCCATGTCATCAACCAGATGATTTATGAACATTTGATGCAGTTGATCGTTCTGAATTAAGACATTTAAAAGATCTTATGATTTTTGCACCAAATGATCCTCAAGGATGTGGGTGTGGGTGTCATTGAAGAAAAGACTCACACCCACCCTACACCCTCATCAAAGAATGTATCGGCCGGATAGTGCAGTGGCTCTGTTGGACCTAAATTTTCATCACAATACCGAAATCGATCCATGATGAAAGTTGGAATGAAATTGAAGTATTTGCCATTTATTTTACTAAACTATTGGCAAATTATTAAAACATATTGTCAATCATAAAAAAAGCGCGATGATGTTCAGCAAAAAGTGTAAATAAATAAGCTTATAAGTATACTGTAGTATTCTCACTTCTTCAGAAAACCCCAATATCCAACGAAAATTTGGAACTTTAGAAAGAAAATTCTCAACAGGAGATTAAGCAGCCAAATAATGCGGGTGTGGGTGCAGAAAAGAAGAAACATCATACCCACACCCACACCCACACATCCACACTCACCCTGTTATTTAAAAAGCATAAGTTTATTCGTTTGATTTAATAGCAACCGACCCTATCATCTGCAACAACAAGTTGAGCTTCACCCTCATCAGGATGCATTCGACAAGTTACATTGACGATTGATAAGGTAGAATGAAAAACCAGGATTGGAACGACTTCACTAACTAAACCATAGACAGTTATCAGTGCTAGATTGATTCCGATATAATTGTTTATGCCTATAACCTGTTGAGAGCTCATAGCTGTCCATTTATTCCATTCACCAAGCAGAGCATATTTTGTTGAACTACTGAATTTGATCAAAGGTGATACATACCAAAGACATATTGATAAATCATGACATTTAGTAGCTGAAACATTTAGAGGATGATCATCATCAAAAGTTGATACTGCTGTTGGATTATCATACGACCAGATCACTCCTAGTTGTGCCCCAATCATAGAAGGATAAACTAAATAATCTTTTTTCATCGCAGACGCAAAGATGGTATAGAATACTTGACCATTTCTAGATACATTAAAATTATTTAGAAGATTAGGAAGAGAGACACTTACATATTAGTTCTTGTTGAATAAAGTTCACCCTGTGAGATCCCCTCATAAAAAGCCCAGTCCGATACTAATCTATTAATCATGGTCAATGGTTGATCTGGCTTCAAAATCAAACCATCTCCACGACAACATTTCATGATATGTTGTGTATTGGTATAATTAATAGCATCTCCAGGACTGACAGGTCCTGTGGATAAAGTCGCAATAAGTATTTCTCGTTCTGGAAGTACTTCTTCAGCATTTGGTTTATAAGGAGATCCAGGTTGTAATGAGGTGGACCAGAACACATCTTTGAATGGTGTCAAACCAATAGCATCAACAAACATGCTCGATATTCCTATAGTCCATTGTTGTGCTTTACCATCAAGATGAAAAGCATAATCAGTTGATGCTCGTGCTTGAGTTACACGTGGAATTTGTAATGCGCTGAGAATATGACGTGGTAAACTCATACAATACTGTATATTTAGTCCGATTTTGTCTGCTGCTGAACCCATTGACATTAGCCATTGATGTCCGAGATTAATATCAGTCCGTGTTGGGAAAAAATCAATTGTTTGACGATCAAGCCAATCTTGTTCATAAAGAATAAGACCCCAATCATGTGCTTCAGTAAATAAATCAATCCAAAATGAATCATTTCCGATTGGTAATGCTTTCTTATTACTTTCATCAAGAACAAAAGAATAATTTTGTTTATAAATAGTATCATATGCCCAATAGCGATTATGTGCTGCGAGCGAAATATTTTCTAATCGACGATATACAGTTTGAAGACCATCAGGAAAAATATCTGGACGAGCTGTCCATTGGGAAACACCATCGCCCGTACCTTTATAATACCACCATGAATCAAGTTGCATATAATGGAATGGAAGTGAAATTTGATGACGAACATTAACCATAGTTTCTTCATAATTGACTCCTTTTTCTGTATTATAATAATAATAACCACCATTATCGGTATAATATCCAAGATAATTGATCGTAACATCAGATAGACGATGTAGATTCGTTCGATTATATTCACTTTGCATGATTTGACCCCATTCTCTTATTCCTTCATTGATACCATTTAATGCATAAAAAGCCACCATGGAATGAGTATAATTAGCTGGTATTGATAACATTGAACCCATCACACCAAATTCTAATATGTTGCTATACGTTTGACTTAATGAAGTGGCCATAAATTGAGAAAATGGTGAAAGAACTAACATATCACCTTCTCCTTGTTGAGTCAGATTAAAAAGAACAACAGGACCACTTTGTATTCCTGATCGAGTGACTTTACTAGATGAATTCCACCAACCTGCATGTTTACCATCATCACCGGACATTCCTCCTGAAGAAAAGTGAAAGAGAGAGTTAAAAACATTTCTAAAATCAATCTTACCTTCGAATGTAAAATAACCTCGTTGATCATTTTGATCGATTTGTTCAATATGAAACGATGGAAAAACTGTGCGAACATGGTCCATGTCAAGAGGGACGGTATTCGTCAAAGGTCGATCGCCAGTATCCAAATGAAACGAAATTCCGAAAGCACGATACCAATCGCGTATGTGACCAACGATTTTCGTATGTATTCCATCGCGAACAAGATCATAGCTTAATTGAAAATCTCGATAATCACCGAGATTTGGATCAAAACCACTTGTATAACTTATTCCAGTTAATGGTAGTGTATTATCATCGGATGAATACCATTTGTTGTCGACGTATATAGCTGTACGAGATGAACGAAGCCAAACGCGACGACTAATAGTAATATTGTATCCTCCTTTGTCATCAATTACTACATTTATATTACCCCAACTCCAACATTCAACTATAAGAAGAAGTAACACTAAAACATGCATCTTCATCAACTACTCTAACCAACATACAAGATAACAGTGCTATTTATATAGATAGTGATAGGAAGAGATCTCTCTATGTTCGTGTTTGAAGTCTAAATCGTGAATGTGACATAAGCAACATTTGTCCTAATATTTGGAGGGTGAGTATGACAAACACAATACGAGCGATGACACAATTCCAATACACTTTATGACATTCCCCAGAATCGAGACGAAATGAGGTGATTTCATGTATTCACCTCAATATCCTATTTAATCATCTTCTTCCGTAAAATCATGTATGTAGATCTGGGTATTGAAATGGAAATGATGGTACAAAATTTATTACTTGAACTTTCATTGTGTTGCAATAGAATAAGTGTCGATAATAATTAATGTAATTCTGTTCAAATTTTCAATCATACTCTTGCTGTTGTTATGCTATGTTTAGCTACCATTTTTTGGAAGAGATAAGAAAGTGTCTTGTGATTCATAAATATGACATGAGTCAACTTCGGCACATATAAGATAATGTGTGCAAGGAATCTTACCTTGGATGCCTAGAAGAATATTTTTTGTCACTGTCGATTGCAACTTTTTGTGTGCCCTTTCTGGTTACCTTCACTTTTGGTAGAAAATGCTCAGTACTAAGAGCAATTTATTTCATACGGTGACGTCAGATGGGTGTAGGTGTAGGTATTCTTTTAAAACATCCACACCCATAGGGTGTGAGTGGGTGTGGGTGTGAATGTGGGTGTGGGTGTGGGTGGGTGTGAGTGTGTGGGTGTGGGTGTGGGTGGGTGTGAGTGTGGGTGCGGGTGTAGGTGCAGGTGTGGGTGTGTGTGGGGGTGGGGGTGTGAGTGGATGTGTGGGTGCGGGATGTGGGTTTTCGCACGAGTGTGGATGTAAGTGCGTTAAGAGAAGGGCAACACCCCCACCCACGTCTCCACCATTTGTTGTAATGATTGTCGATTTCTCGATGAAATGCTCATCATGAATTTATAAATGATGACCATTTAGCAAATGAAAATACTGCGAATGAGTTCAGCAGAAGACTCTATGGTCGCTGATTAACATTGCTTTTTTAGATTTTCGAATGGTATCCATCGTTTTCATAGGAAAATCAAATTGATAAAGAATCTCATAGAAATTGGAATTCTTCTTGAAAAAAGCGACTGAACAGTCTTGTCAAAAGAATTGATCTGACACAATAATTGACATCATCTATATTTATTTTTGTGTGATTCGGAAGATTGATTCGACTGTGATCTTCGGACTTGGGTAGCAATCTTGTTGCTTCGGTTAGAAAATGTGATGAAGAATCGATAGAGATAACGTTGGTCATATCTTATCTTTAATGAAAAGAGACCAGCTAGTGTTTGAGAGGTGACCATTTTCTAAGCAAAACAGATTCTTCTCGAGAAGAATCTTGTCTCGTGCATTGAAAATGTCCAAGTTTAACGAATTAGTGACTTCAGAACATCTCAAACAATTCGATCAGCACGGGTACAGATTGAAATGGTTCCTTCCATTTGAGAAAAACTTTCTTCTGCTAGGTATTTCATTCTTCCATCAGTCATTCCTGTTGAACATCTAACAATCATGAACAATGTCATTGATCGAGCAATCAAGAAACGAGATGAAAAGATGGATCAGATGATCAATGGTAAAAATACAACACCAGAAGATGATGGATTAATATTGTGTTCAACCGATGGAAAGTATTTCTTCTTTATGCACGAAGACTCCGAACCTGAAATGAAGAAAATTATCTTTAGTAAATATATGGAACAAATTGTTCGAGGTATCCGATCATTTTTTCTGAACAGAACAGACTTCATTTCTTATTTTATTGTAGCTGTATTAGGTGAAAATGTCTATTATACTCATTCGGAAATCGTTGTCAAACGTGGACAAGGAAAGAACGATTCTTCGAGAAGAACTGCTTTCGCTTGGCATCAAGATAGTGGTTATGTTCCGTATGAACATACTCCTTATCTTAGCTGTTGGTGTGCATTGACGGAGATGACATCGAACAATGGAACCATCTCGGTCCTATCAGCGGAAAGAAATCCGTCCGCTGATGAACATCACAAAATTCGTTGGTTTGGAAAAGCACGACCTTCATGTGAAACGAAATTTCCTTCTTATGAACATCGACCAGATGATTCCAGTCCAGATCTACTTGGATATTTTGGAAATGATCCCGGTGTTGAAGTTGTTTGTCCAGCTGGAAGTATCGTTGTCTTTTCCAGTCTGACACTCCATTGTTCCTCACCCAATCGAAGTGATTCTCTTCGTTCAGCATACAATGTTCAATATGCACCTGTGCCATTGATGAGTGAAGATCAAAAATCTTTTCGACATAAAGCAGATCCATTTATTATTCAATCGAAAACTAATGAAGAACTGAAGAAATGGCAATCATAATTTCCATCATCAACAAACGATCTTTGCAGATTTATTCTTCATTTCAATGCAAAGAAAGATTTTTGTCAGGAATAAAAAGATCAAGTTTTCCATTCTAATTATTGGTGAAGTGTTCATGATGAAGATGCAGAAAATCGTTGGCCATTTCTGATGATGAATAAATTGTACAGGGTGTAAAAAAACCATTACGCCCCCCCCCTTCCAGACCTAAAGACCAAATAGTACCCCCAACAATTTTATACCAAATGAAAGCCCGCAAAAAGTTACGTCTAGTGGTATAGTCAGAACAAATATAGTTTGTAATATTATAACGATTCTTGGCTCAATACATCATTTTCACTTATGTATCACAGTCTCATATCAATTGAAATGATACAAGTTATCTTTCTTCACTTTCGAATTACGTATTAATAGATCGTAGTTTTCATGGCTCCAAGTTTTTATTAAATGTACGATATCGTAGACCAATATGTCACGTATTTTGCCAAATTTTCGTTTTCTAATGTTATATTTGAGTATCACAAAGCACGTGAGCGAGTTGAGTAATGTTTAGTGTGAATTATCAAAAGCCTTACTATTGATGACTGATAACGAGAAGAAGGAACAGAAAAAAAGAAAGTTATGTGCACATTTATGCACGAACAGATAAGAAGAGAATACAGAAAAGAAAATGGTCGAGTGTCGAAATATTTTCAACTTTTTTCATTGATTTTCTTTCTGAGTATCTGTTGTCCGCGCAAGTAATTCTTATTCACGTTAGACGTTGAACAATTTGCTGATTAGTTAATAAACAATTCTATGGTACATTAATTGAAAAACCAAAATGGCTAATCTGCTTCATGATTCGGAAGAGCAACGATTCGTTGACAGAATTCGATGTGTCACATATCGTGAAATACGTGACGAACTGATTGCAAGAACAGGAGACTCAATTATTACTCGCCCTTGGATTTCCGAGAAGCTACGTCGCAGTGAAGATTGGGTACGACGAAATTGGAATAAATCTATCGAAGAATGTTATACACAATTTGGCAGTGGTCGACCCCAGGTGCTTAATCAGGAGAGCAGAAACATTATCTCTTCTGCAAGTGGTGTCAAAAGCAGTAGCTGTCGAAAAGTTGCAAGAGAGATTTTAGAGAAAACAAAACAGCGGGTGAGTCACATGACTATTTACAATGAACGCCATCGGCAAGGATTAAAAGCTTTCCATGTGATTGCCAAGCCACTGAAGACAAATACACATATCGAAGATCGCAAGTGGCTAGCAAATTTTCTTACTGATTGGACTGAAGAAGATTTTCTACATGTTGCACCTTCGGATGAATTTTACATTTATGTTGTAAGAAAACCAAACCATCAAAATGATCGAATTTGGGCAAGAAGTATTGAAGACATCAGTGATGATGAAAGATACCGAGAGATGGTTTACAATGCAACATGTATTGGGGTTTTCGTCATGTTTACTGCAAAAAAACTACTTTGGGTGCTAAAAGAACATGGACAGTCTTGGGATGGCGCTTATTTTCGTGACACTATCCTTCGACAACAGGTGATCCCATTTCTTCGTGATTCGTCCAATGTTCTCGATACGAACGAAGTGATATTTCTTCACGACAAGGCACCTTGTATGAAAGCGAATGCAACACAACATCTTTTAGAAGATGAGAATGTGAATTTCTGGGGAAATTCAATTTGGCCAGGCAATAGTCCTGACATGAATCCTGCAGAAAATATTGGTGCAATTATTAAAGATAAAGTTGAGGAACTAATGGCAAATGAAGATCGTCGTAGCAGATACAATTACGATGCACTGAAAACGAATTTGGAGAATACGCTCAAAGATCTTGAAAATGATACAGATCTTTTTATTGACTTGTTATGCTCGATGCGAAAAAGATTTGATGCTCTCAAGGCTGCTGATGGGGGTCATACGAAGTTCTGAAACTTTCGAAAAAGCATTTTTTAGTATTCAATATTATCAATAAACTGAATAATTAATGATTCACAACTTAAGTTACTGTTGAGCACAACGGCTTTTGACGTACTCGAGATTGTGATATATAAGTGAAAATGATGTATTGAGCCTAGAATCGTTATAATATTACAAACTATATTTGTTCTGACTATACCACTAGACGTAACTTTTTGCGGGCTTTCATTTGGTATAAAATTGTTGGGGGTACTATTTGGTCTTTAGGTCTGGAAGGGGGGGCGTAATGGTTTTTTTACACCCTGTAGATGCTCACACAGAGACTAACGATGATAACAAATAGTGCAAAATTTGTGAGGATTAAAATAGTATGATAATGGTATTGACCGTTGTCTCGGGATTTGCACTTTTTGTCTATGTCCAAAAGCTGAGATGCATAGGCGATGAACACGAGAATTTGAAAAAAGAATTGAAGGGTGTGGATGTGCATATGCGTGTGTGGTATGGGTGTGGATGTGAATGGGTGTAGGTGTGGAGAGTGGATGTTGGTGTGAATCCAACGAAGACCTGACACCCACACGCACATCCACACTCTCAAAAAGTGCCAAAAATCGGGTGATGCTCTTTCCGAAGAACTTCTAAGTAATCTCATTTCATAGAGAATGGATGATTTGACATTGAGTTTCCTTTATCGCAATATTCATTCAATTGAAATACAGTTGACGATGCAGTTTTGTCGAGCAAGAAATGAAGTTTTTTTTGTCAAACCATTTCATGTATTCGAAGTCTCAATCGAAATATTAGAAGATTTTCAATAAAAAGAACACCACCGTTTTTGAGAAAGTTGTCCAAACTCAATGAAATTTGGACTGCTAGTAGAAGTAAATGAGATACATTTACCATAAAATGTTGAGCTCAATACATCTTGTTGACGAGATGTTATACTGAAAATATGTCTGGATGAAATTAATGTAAAAATAGAAGGTGAGTGTGGTTGTCGATGGCGTTCGGGAGTGAGTGGATATGGAGTATGGGTGAGGATCTTCTCTTCTTTTACTCATTCTCACTCGTACACACACTGGCACTAATATCATCCACGCCTCGCATCCACACCCATCTGTAATTTGATCATGAACATCATCAATTGCAGTTTGGTGCCTTTAAAAATCACCTTTTAAAATATTCTACACTAAATCATTTTCAGTTGTTATCAAGGATATTTTGCTATAAATATGGGTAAGGGAGTGAATATTATCTTAATCCACACTCGGAACAGAGGCATAGGCTCACTCTACAAATTGACTTGTTCTTTCAATAAAAGTCATTGTTGAATGCATTTTTCAAGATTCGTTTTTCAATTAAATCCGCTATGGTTTCTTCTTTGATTCTATAGCACATTACAATAGAAACTTTGCATATGCAACCCGATTCTATGGAGTTCTTTAGAGTAGAAATTATTTATTTCAAAACAAATGCAAAAAGGAGCTGAATTCTAAACCAGAACAATTATCTTTTCGTATGAGATATGCTCGTATGTGTTTTGTCCTTCTCATATGCCAATAATATTCTCAGTAGTTTCTGAAATGAATAAGAAATCGTCGACAGATATGTAATAGCATCGTAATCTTTTTCTCTATTTAAAAAAATCGATAATATCACTTCTTTTGAAATTAATATAGTAAAAATTAATATTGCAATAAAAATCATACTATAATTTTGAGACATCATATCATATAAACTGAAAGAAACGATTTAATATAATCTCGAAAACAAAATTTATTAAATAAATAAAAGACTATACATATAGCATTACAAGTATGAAAAAAGGGTGTGGGTGGGTGTTGGTGTGGGTGTGGGTGTGGGTGTGGGGTGTCGGTGTGTGGGTGTGGGTGTAGGTGGTTGTGGGTGGGTGTGGGGGATGTCGGTGTGTGGGTGTGGGGTGTGGGTGTGAATGAACTAAAGGCTTCCAACTAACCACAACCCACTTCCACGCCCAACCACACCCTCACACCCACACACCCACACCCACTCACACCCACACCCACACCCACACTCACACCCACACCCACACCCTAACTAGGGCCCTGCGGGAACGTTTTTTTCCCGTATTTTTCCGTCCCGTTTTCCGCGGGAATCGGAAACGAGAATTCCCGTGGACACTTTGGGAACGGGAATGATATTAGAAATTGGCATTCCCGAAAATCTTTTTGTCTTATTTTTTTATGTGCATCAAAAGATCTTTAGGTAACGTTCTTTTATTTCCAATAGCTATTTATACATATATTATTAATAGAGAAATAATGAATATCTATCAATAGGAATAAGACAAATTCATTTGATGTTCATTAAATCCTAATTCAATTATAAATTTGTCCAAAATTCACTTCTTACACCAGCTGGTTTTATAAATGAAATAGATAAATCACTTGATATTACTAAACCTTGAATTTCAGCTTTTGATAAAGTCGATTTTGTAGAATTTGTCGAAGACATTTCACGAAATTTAATACATAAAAGATTTACTAACAGAGAGAAATTTTCAATATTTTACAATCAAATCCAAATCTGAGTTGTATGATTAGTCAAGTGTACGTCCAGTCCTAGTTTAACTTTTAATTTTATACCTCTTATGCTGTGCAAAAACGAGATGTCACGAAAAACTAATGTTTAATAATGATATTTTTTATGAACACGAATATCGAAATACGAATAAAAAATTACAAAACATTTCGGGAACGGGAAGAAAATTTTTTCTTCGGGAACGGGAACCCAAAAAATCTGTTTCCGCAGGACACTATTGCTAACATATTAGAATTTATTCAAAGAAAATGCAGAGTTATGATTTTGCCGACGCGTTTCGTGTTTATGTCTTAAAATATTAAAAACACTCATCAGGGCTCTGCATGTATGTAATAAAAAAAATTTAACAACAAAAGAAAAAATGATAAAGTAGTTTAAAAGGAGAAATATCTGTATGTATGTAAAGTATCTAAAACTGTATTTAAGTGCGACAGCAATAACATTTAAGAATAGAGTGTGGGCGTAGGTAATTCTGCTTTCTTCATTCACAACCACAGCTACATCCACACCCACACTCCCACCCTGATTGGAGAGCTTTAAGTAGGAATCTATAGAAATGAGTACGGATTCTGATTTCCATTATGGCACTCACAACCGACATAGGAGTAGTATGTAATTAAAAAATAAGGCATCATCATGACAATCTTCTCGGCGTTAAAATTTTGGAAACATGATTGATGTGTCATTACGAACAACCGGAAAGCTATTTTAATTCTCACGCTTTTGAGAGCATTTAATTGCTACCTGTTAGTAACTGACCGCATGCATTAGAAGGCTGTTGATGTCATTTCATGATTTTTTTAGTATCTACAATCACCGATTCTTTTCTGAATGTTCTGTCATCATATGTGATTCTTTCTCAAGTTCATCGGTCATGCTCTTTCCTGAGGTAACTGTGATTCACTAAAGAAAACTCATAAAGAATATTTTATCAGATAACAATTTTTCTCGTCTCGAACGGTCTCTGGCGACAGTAGAGACAACATTTTTCACTTGTACAGTTCAATGCTCGAGCTTTGAGGTGATCTATGATTCAGATGGACCGAAAAAACAAGGGGATTCACTTCATCTCCTTTTAGTTGTTATGCCAAAACATGATCATAACACAATTGACGATTTGAGAATAATGTTGGCAAGATAAGTATTTGTTCTCAAATCATTATATTAGTGTAAAAAAAGGAGCAGATGAAAAACAGAAAAAAAATCACATCATCTATAAATCTGCTGGTGACGATATCGAGAAACATCGTGCGGACAAAATGCATGAGAAATAGCTCCAAGCTTAAGTGAGTTAACAACTATGATAATCGGGATCTTTTGAATTGACGAAGTGGTGGCATTCGTGTCGTTGTTTCGTGTAGTGGTAACGATTTGCTTTCGTTTTTTTGGGTATTGAGGTGATCTTGATGCTGGTTCAGTATCGAAACAATTCGTCTGTAGTTTTTGAGAATTACTGTGATCGACATTCAGATTCGCAGACTGTTTTTCGGTTGATATGAGCTCATGTTCTGGGGTGATTGATAGCATGCTAATATTTTCCTTAGCAACTAAAATGAAATGCAGTTTTAAAAAGTTTGAAACTATCAATGAAGAATAATTTTCAAATGGCAATTGAAAAATCTATTCGCCATAGCTGACGAAATATATTTCTACGGGATGATTATTTTGCATTATTCATAAAGACTTACTCAATCGTTGTGTATTATTAAATGGAGAATTGAGTGCTGTTCCTTTGTTAACATTGTTTGTTTGTTGATTTCGAGTAAACTCAGTTTCACTTGTTTTAGATGACGTTGTAGTTTTAGATAAATGTGTATTAGTCATTGTTCTTGTTTGACATTGATGAACAATTGATTTATTTTTTATTTTATAGTCCTACAACAAAAGAGGCTTTCTCAATGACTTATTAAGCTGGTTTTGATCTGAAAGGACAACTCCGTATAGCAAATGAATAGCATACCACAAAAGACAGCACTTGAATCGACTATTGGCTTTATTACATTAATGTTAACTAACTTCGACGATTGGTGTGATAAAAGAGTTGAAAACATCTAAAGGTAGGTCATATTCGACTCTAGGAATAATTGCTGAACAATCCTCAGATACAAAGATATATTGACATTGAATTGAATTAAGGTTGACTTGAGCGTCATCAAAACGAAAATTTGCTTCGAAATACGGACTGCCTGTTGAATTATTTTTTTGGCATAGATTGTATTCTTAGTAATACATATCTCAAATTAAAACGAACATACTCATATGCATATGTATCCGGTAGTGTGAATAATGCGATAACAAATCTAAATACACTAGGCAGGTGTTCATAATTGTTGGGAGGGCGTTGGCTATCAATATGTATCATTTCTAATGATGCTGTTAGAAAGTCAGTATTATCCGTTTTACCATGAACCAGAATTATTCAAAAAACTGCTCAGTTTAAATTTGTCTTAAACAAAATAAAACTCGCTTGGCCCTTATTCGATGCTTTATTACCTTTTTTTGAAA